TACAGTGAATTTACCGCTAATATTTGCAAATAATAAACAAACACTTAGGCACCTAACCAATGGCTTCAATCTCTTGCAAGCTCGAGGAAAGGATCCATCTCCATGACTTCAATCTCTTGCAAGCTCAAGGAAAGGATCTCCACCAAAATTGCTCAAGTTAGGTCGATCTTGTACGAAGAGGCGAGCCAAGCCAGCACGTCCACGTTGGCATTTTGAGAGCTTTAGAATTGCTTGACTTTGCAGCTTTCAAACCATCCGTTGACCAAGTACTCAGTCATCCGCTCATCTTTGGCTTGGTATTCTTCATAATTTGATTGACGATCAGCCGTGAGTCACTAAGATGTGCAGATGGGCCACGACCATGGCCTTTGCCATGCTCAATCCGGCTAAGGGTGCCCCTTACTCGGCTTCATTGTTGGAGGCCCAAACTTGGAACCTCAGGGTGTACTTGTGGCATCTTCCCCCTAGTGACACAAACAACACACCTCCTCCACCCTTGCTCGTTGGACAGCCTGTCAATGTAGAGAGTCCAAGGTTTGGAGGGTGGTCTCTCCTTTCTCTGACTTGCGGCGGGCCGAGCAAGACGTGGAGTTGTGAGTTCGGCTACGAAGTCAGCCACCGGCCCTTAATTGTCATCCTTGGGGTTGTAATGGATGACATATTCACTTAGTTCAATCACCCACATCAACCTTGTTCAAATGCCTCAAATTTTTTAAAAACTTGGTGCAATGGGTGTTTGGTGAGGAGTGTGACCTTGTGGGCTTGGAAGTAGGGATACAACTTTCGAGTCAAGGTGATTAGGGCGAGGGCTAACTTATCCACCTGGGGTATATCATCTCTATCCCCAACATGGTTTTACTCGAGTGGTGTATCGGAGTTTGCCTACCATCTTCGTCCTTCATTTGAGTTGCACTTGCCGCACTGTCCAAGGTGGATAACTAAAAATAGAGCTCGTCTCTTAGGAATTTTTGGAGAGGAAGGGCATTGAGACGAGGTACTCCTCGACTTGGAAGGCCTTCTTGCATTCCTTGATCCACTCGAACTTGCCGCTCTTTCTCAGTATTTTGAAACAGGACAAACATTTTTTTTTAACAAGAAACAAACTTTTCATTGATAATATGAAAACGAAGAAAAAAGTTCAAGGATACAAGCTCCCAAAGGAAGCGAAAAAGGAAAAAGAAAAAACAAACAGCACATAGAAAACAAAACCCATAAAAATATGAGAACTGAAGCCCAAGAACAGAAGCTGAACACTGATTACAAGAAAGCTCGCCAAAACAAAGAACAGACTGCTGAGGAGGAATCCAAAACCAGCACTTAACACAAGCTAATCGCCAGAAGAGAAGAAACTGAAACCTCCCTCCACCAAGAAAAGACACAAAAGCGAAAAAAACTCAACCCTCAAAACTGCTGAGTGGAACCAACCAAAAACCTGATGCCCATAATAAAAGCCTACCTAATCAGTGATTGGAACTAGGGTAAGACCAACATCTTCAAAAAATTTGAAAAAAACCTTTGATTTTCTGCGCAAGAAGCCTTTTCGACTCCCAAAGTCTGCTCTCGAGAAGGAGAAGGAATGGAATCTATTTTTGCAGAAGAGTGATTATCCTCTGCAAAAAGTAAATTAAATTCCTCTCGTAGGGAAACCTCTGATAAATCATCATTAACAACCGCTTCCTCCTCCAAATACTCTGCTGGATCTGCACTACTAACACTAATATTGAAATCTTCTTCATCTTCAGACAAAACGTTATCCTTGATTAGAAGATTGGCCTGCTCACTTGTAGAATTGATGATACCGTGGCTGAGAGGTGAAACGTCCTTCTGAAATCCTCCTCTTTCCTTTGCTTGGCTCGAAGAGTCATTCTTTTTCCTCGAGTAAAAAAATGGCAGGGGGAATAGTCCTAGGTGGCAGTACATCCAGGTCAAGAGTCGGGCTACTATCAATCTGGTCGAGCTACTATCAATCTGGTCGGGCTACTATCAATCTAGTCCTCAGTTGCCTTGGCTACCTTAGCACCTTCTAAAGTTTGAGGATCAATTCTCAATTCGTTACCTTGAGCAGACAAGAGTTTCGGCGAAATGCTATCCAATATAGGAAGAACATTTGGGCTACCCTCTGCATTTTCGAACCTAACTTCAAATTTAGAGTATCTTTTGTCAGATGAAAACTCATGAGGAGGCTCTTCATGTGACAGCAACAAATGAAGTCGTTGAGCATCTATCACATTTGAGGATCTTGCAACCAACATCTTACTGGAGATCAAACTCTGTTTTTTCTCAACACTCTCAATTCATTGAATAAGGGCAAGCATTTGATGTATCCAAGCATGGAGAATTTTCTTAATTCATTGAATAATTCTGCAAATGAGCACCGCGGCCTCTATTTATAATAAAAAGGCCACGGTAACAGCCTAACAACTTACTAACAACCAAGGTAAAACCTAACAGCTAAGGAAACAACAATTTACCTGCTGTAAAATAACTAATGAAAAGCTATTGGCTGTAAAAATAAAATCTTAAAGCTACTCAGTTACAAGCATTTACCAAAAGGTGGAATAATATCAAGATTACCACCAAGATCTAAATAATTGACCACAACTATTCAAGAAAAATGTTCTACATCAGCATTTGTCAGCAGACTTTTGAGACAAAGCAATTGAAGGCAGCGGTCTTCTCGTTCAAGCTTTGGAGTTTGGAGTTGTTTCAGACTCCTCAAAGACTCCTCCAATTCTTATTATCAATAATTGGGGTGCTTTTATTAGTCCCTTGTAGCTCTTTGTAATTCTTAGTATTGTAGTTCTTTCTTATTCTTTGTATTTTTCTATTTTCTACTTTCTATTCTTTTTCACTCTTTCTAGAGTTAACATATGTGAACAATATCTTGTTCCTTTTCATTTCATCAATGAGAAGTTAGTATCTTTTCTTACTNCTTCCTGAATCTTTAGCTTTATTTGCAATTTTATTTTTACGTTCACTCTTTCAAGAGTCTGTATCTATGAACAATTTTGTTCCTTTTCACTGATTAAAAAAAAAGTTAGTATCTTGTTAAAAGAAAAATCAAAGACTCCTCCAGAACAACTCATATCTTCTTTGGGTTTGCCTCGCCCGTCTCTAGTGCACCAGAAGCCTAGGAACTAGGAAGCACCGATACGCTAAAAATGGTGAAGTGTCGGTGTCGAACACCGACATGGTAAAATAAGTGTTGGATTTTTCATAATTAAAGGACACGTGAGCAACACGAAGAGGACACATGGCGAAATGTTAAATGACTTTCATCTCAAGATTTTCTTAATATTTCAGCCCAAGGCCAATAGGATTCTATTTCATTTCTATTTTCATATTTTTTTAATATTTCAGCCCGAGGCCCTACACAATACCATTAGGTTTCCTTTCCAATTTCACATCTGCTACCCACGTGAACGCCTCCCTTCCCCACCGGCTTCCCTCCTCATCGTTTTCTTCTACTTCTTCGATATTCTTGGCATTTCTTCAAGCATTTCTCCTTTCTTTTCTTCGTTTTTGAAATATGTCAAAATATGCACACATATTTTTTTCAAAATAGAATTATTGTGTCCACAGCTTGTCATATCCTACTTTTTTAGAAATTGACGTGTTGTCGTGTTCGTGTCGTATCCATGTTGCATGTCCGCACTTCTTAGCCTAGGAATTTCCCCGCGTAACCCAAAGGCACACTTGGCAGGTTTCAACCTCATCTTGTGCTCTCTAAAAACGCAAAGACTTCAGCTAGGTCAGGTTCATGTTGATTTGCTTGTCTACTCTTGACCAACATGTTATCGACATACACCTCCATATTCTGCCCAATATGTTTGACGAACATCTTGCTGACCATCCTTTGATAGGTGGCCCCAGTGTTCTCAGGCCAAAGGGCATTACTTTATAACAAAAAATAGCCTGATTGGTTATGAACGAAGTGTACTCTTGGCCTTGGGTCTGCATCTTGATCTAGTTGCAACCTAAATATACGTCCATAAAGGTCAGCATCTCGTGCCTGAGAGTAGCATCAATGAGTTGATCTATCCTGGGCAAGGAAAAGTTGTCCTCTAGGTATGCCTTATTAAGGCTTGTGAAATATATGCACATCTGTCATTTGTCATTGGCCTTCTTAACAAGCACCACATTGGAAAGCCACTCGGGGTAATTAATTTCTCTGATGAAGTCAACCTTCATGAGCTGCTCCACTACGGAAGCAGAAGTCAAGTTGCATGCTGCATCCACGGCTCTTTTTTTCTGCTATGCAGACTTGAAGCTAGGATCAATGTTTAATCGGTGTACTACCAACTTGGGATCGACCCATGCATGTCCTTGTGCGACCAAGCAAAGATGTCAGCATTCTCCCTTAGTTGTGCACATTCGATTCTTCAAATGGTAGCAACTCGTAGGGCCTACTGGTAGCATTGAGAATTGAATTACACCCACCTTTGGTTCTTGCAAAAGTTGTCTAAGACCATTGTCCTTGCATGCTATCCAAAAAAGCGATTGTTCTTGCAGATTTTTGTTATTACCATGTCAAAATGGATTGGTAGCAGCAAATCTTCATGGTTGCACGGTTTTCCTTATGTATTTGCACATTGAAAGAAGTGGTTTTGATTATTTTGGCTTCTTGTTTTGTCAAAATATTAGGCGTTATATTTTGATTATTTTGGCTTGTTGTTTTGTCAAAATATTAGGCGTTATATTCTATGATGTTTTATACTCTTGTGATATTTGGAGATTTGTTCTATATCTGGTTATTTAGTCCTTTTGCGCTCCTTTTCGGAGTTTGTATCCTTGAACATTTTTCTTCCTTTTCATATATCAATGAAAGGTTTATTTCTTGTTCATTTATTTTTTAAAAAAAACATCAAATTCACATGTAAGTTATTTGACACTTGATCCAACTAATATATTAAGCAAGGAAAACAGATGAAGCACTGCAAGACGAAAAAAAAAACCAAGAATAAAAATACACAATTTTACTGTCAAATTGTGATACCCACAGTTCCTTCGAGCATTTTCAATAGTGCCTGCTGGACCCCCTCTCCAGATACATCTCTGCCAGTGTTCATGCTCTCATTCTAATAAGATATAAAGCAAATTATGACAAATACAAGAAAGTTGACAACTAAAACTATCATCTTAAACCATGCTATACCTTCTTAGTTATCTTATCAACTTCATCGATATATACAATCCCTCGTTGAGCTGCTTCTACATTGAACTCTGCATCCTGTACAATTAAGCAGATGTATTGAATCAGAAAATGTACAGTGACAAATAAAAAAGGTACGAAAGCTATTGTTCACCAAAAATACAAAAATAAATATGACCTTAGATTTCACATACTTCCTCAAATGGTGAAGCTAGGTATATGACAATAAAGTTGAGCTCTCATTCTATATCTCCCAGGATTCAGACCCTGAATCCATCACCCATGGGATAACTAATTGCAAAACTGTCAGTGGTTTTTCAAAGAGCAGGTACACCTAATATTTTGTTTATATCCCATCATTTGCCGCCCACTAATCCACTTCTCATTTACAAGTAAATTCTGAACAGCAAGTAAATAATGCCAAAAGGCCCAAAACTGCTTCTCTTCTATTCCATAGGCAAGCAACATATCACAAGTCTATGATTTCTATTTGGACTTCTTTTATCATCTTTTAATAGTATTTCCAATTCATAAAATTGAAAAAATATGCACCAGTTTATGATCTACAGAAGGTACAAAATTGAAACAATGACTGATGAGAAGGATAATGATGAAATCCCTACCTCAATGAATGTAATACGAATTTAAACAGGATATTTCCAAAAAAACTGTCCAAGAGTAATTCATTAATTTTTTTTGATATCCATGAATGTCTGGGCTAGCTTGCATCTCACAGTACAACCGTCGACCCTATTATATTTTGTTGCCAATAGGTGGCCACCATAGTTTGAACCTATTCCCTCTAAGTCCAACAGTAATGCATAAATTATAATTACAATTCCAAAAACTGAACATGGGTAAAAAAAGACATGGTAGGATAACTAACACGTATAGTTAGTGCCCCTACTTATTTGACACTTCAAGAGCTTGATGGTTTATGATATACAAATAAATAAACACTATAACCATATCCCAGGCCATCTTTAAACCTCGGAGTCATCTACCCAGACTTCAAAAGGTTGAATGAATTCAGCCAAAACTTAGATGTTGGGACATTTTAAGAATTCAACTTAGTAATAATAACACAAAATGTAAATGGTAATATGACCCAGTGATTCAAAAGTCATCACTTTGTGCATATCTTGGTCAAACAACTGATTTTGAACTCAAGAGTCAAAGAAATCTTCTTAGTGTTCCTTATAAAGATAACTTACTAATTTAATTGACAGAAGAGGAGAAATCAAATAAATTAATACCATGAGGAGCTTGTACAATATTGATTCCACATCTTCTCCAACATAACCCGCCTGAAAAGGAGAGAGTGAGAATTTAAAATCTACGGAACCAACCAAACAAATGCTGCTAGGTAATAATAATTTGAAATATTATACAGTA